CGCTTGCTTTCATTTGGCAAGACATCCAATCTTCTCAGCTTCAAAATCACGATGCATGATCATGATGATGTTGGGCTTAGCATAATGATGCTAGTTGTACTCGTACCCATGATAATTTTCTTGATGATAATTTCTTTCGTGTAACAGCCGGCTGTTTAGAGCTGGCAGGCCGAGTGCTTAGTGGCTGGGTTGGGGTCGGCTGCCGCCTGCTGGCTTTGAGGAACGATGCCTAGGAGCCGGTTGTTCAAGCATAGGTTTCATAAAGCTGGCTGTATTGAGGCAGTTGGGAGCCTTGTATTTTGACGCCTGCTTTCATTAGTTTGGCGAGGACACTAGGTGTAGTTAAACAGCCAAAGGCTTGACTAGCTAGGTGCATCTCTGTGCTCAACCACTAATGCCGGCTGTAGCCTAAGGCCGGCTTGGCTTGTGCGGGCGCCTCAATGGTGGACTGGCAACGAGGGCCGCCTATTCTGAAAATTTACAAACGACTTCTCAAATTCAGGCGTCCATACCCATCTTGCGTATCCAGCCATGCATAACATTCTCTCGTTCTCGCATATGCTGCTTTATTAGAGCTAGCTTGAAGTTCGACATTGAGATATCGTCTTGCACATTCTCAAACAAGGAACTTTTTGGTGTTAAACGGTTTCGGACACCATTAATAACCAAGGTGCGCAGCCGGCAACCGAGAGTTTGAGTTCAACATTTTACTTGCATTTTACTTGAGTTTGAGTTTGAGCTCATGCCTTTTAAACCAAGTGCCGACTGTTTTAGGTGAGTCGGTGTACTTAACACATGCGCCTGGCTGGGGCTGGGCTGAACGCCATCGTCTCTCAGCAATTTAGTTGGTAAGCTAGGCAAGTGATACAATTGGTGATAAGGCCGGTTTGTTTTTCCATGATGTGTCGGCTGTCCTCATAGCGTTGTTGCCAATTATATATTAGCCGTTGTTCATTAAAGAGTGCCGGCATCTGGCTGCTCCCACAAGGTGAGTTTACTCGCCCATCGCCATATCTAGATGGTCTTCATACACTAAGTGTGAACGGTACACACTCAATCATACGCTTGTCGCTTGTATTAATCACCATAATGGTTATTGATGGTATGATGCTGCTGCTTGTATGAGAGAAAGGGGGGTTTGTTAGCTTCTCTTGATGGCATAACAGCCGGTGGTACAGTGCTTCCCCTACATACATACAACCGCCTAGCCGCCTACTTTGTACATACACACGAACTCATTCGACTCGGCATTTAGAGTCGCTTGTTCTTGGAGTGCCGTTTGATATTCTGTTGTTTGCCCATGATACTTCGAGATTCAAGAATCACTTAGCTTGAGGTTACATGTGGAGCATGCCGGCTTCTTTCATGGTTACGAGGACTTGTTTGTTAGCGTCGTACCACAATCGACTTTAGGAGTGTTACATAAACGCCATTTCTTCAAATTCATCTAGCTTTCTCAAGGCTATCCTCATTTATCACCGGCTGTTTGATGGCTCGGATTAGGCTGGCTGTTTTGCGGCCGTGTTGTCAAACACCTTATACTTGATGCTATACGTACACTTGATGCTAGTTGTTTAAATTTAACCAACCAAGCTATACGTACACTTGTTGCGTTTGTTGTGAAGGTCGCCTGCTTTAACATGGCTGGCTGCCTCTTGCTTGATAGCTTGAGGAACGATGCCTAGGTGCCGCTTAGGATACACAAGTGAGTTGCTTTCCCATCTAACTTTACACTTGTCTTTTCTCATAATGCAAGTAAGCTAGCTTCTCTATATAGAAAATGAAAGACGAATAGATAATGGACAAGCTTGTTCCACTAATTAATAAAATAGTTAATAAACTAGTGGAGCTTTGCCGCCTGACATCATCCCCAAATTGAGTGGACCAGCTCATAAAGCATAGCAAATACTTGGGAATTAATGATGGCGTTTATGGTGTATTGGAGTGTGAAATTAGTTGGCTTTCGGGTTGCAAGTAGCACAGCCCCACTCAACAGATTTAAAGAAACAAGTCGCCCTTTTTTTTTCTTTTTTTTTTAATTCAAAATCATAATAATGATTTGATAATAATAATAGCCTACAAGCTTGACCATCCGACTCCTGTTATTCGGCCGTATGGCGTTTGTGGCACATGCGGGGCCGACTAGTTTTTATGGGATCCAGACCGACAGGAGGTGCCGCCTATCTGGCTCTCGTAATTTGATTGGGTATACCTCATGGAGGTATTATGAAGACTATCTTGAAAATCGGTAGTAGTGGCCGACTCTGACAGTTGGTGATTCTTCTTTTGCTCGATTATCATTCGAGCATCAGAGTATGTTTTCCTTGATCCATCCAGTTGAATAAGGCGGATGGGCTTCCTCTTCCCTAGAGAAGGGAAGCGGTACTTTGTTAGGTCGATCACTGGCGCCTCTCTCCCCTTAGGTCTAGGGTGAGTAGTCGCCTCCCGATCCTTTGCAGGTTCTTCCTCCCAGATTGGGAGGGTCTTCTGGCCGACTGTTCCTTTGCAGGAACAGGCACCCTTCTATTGATCAAGTCTTGGATCTCTCCTTTGAAACTACTCATGAGGGCCATGAGTTCATTCCTGGTTATAGGGGCAGATCCCTCGGTCGCCTGTTGATGATCAGGCGGCGGGCCGACTGGTTTACTAGATTTAGCCAGGTAGTCTCCCCGTTCCCTCCTTTCGATGGGACGGGTGCGTCGAGCTCTGAGGGACCCGTCAGGGGCCGTGTGAGTCTCAACTTCATATTCTTCGTCGGTATCCTAGTCTGACTGGACCAGGGGGTTGTCCATGGAACGCTTCTCACTTAGAACCGGTACAGACTGTGATACCATCTCGAAAGTACTCTCCCTACAGACGGCGCCAAAATGTTTCGGGGTTTTCTGATGTCCTGCGGGAGAGTTACAATTCCGGGACTGGTATCCTTGCGCCTGTACCTGCAAAACAACGGAGACTCCTTGTGGTGGGAGCTCCGCCTCCAACGGTCAAGTTAGTACTTGTTTGAGGAGTAATAAATGCGGAAAGTAAAGGTGGGAGATCTGGTTCCTCTAGGGGAGGAGTGATCAATGTGTTTAGACTTCTCTAGGTGAGAGTCATCAATTGCTGAATCCCCTTTAATGAGGATTAATTAAGTATTTATAGTCTTGAGAAGCGTGCCAATTTTAGGTTTAGGTTAACCAGGGCAAATTGGGCTTCTCTCGGACTTTGGGCCTTGGTGGCCATTTTGCCTATTTGGCATATGGGAGGCCACGTGGCGTGGCCTGATTAGTCCATGTTGGACCTCTTAGGGTGACAAATGGCGAGCGCTGATTGGCCCACGTGGTGGACACGTGGCAGGTCCGAATTGGTCCATTTGTCATGGGTAATTTTTACCCTAAACAGACGCCACCGCCTAGCCACCATCCAACCACCCTAACACCACCAGAACCACCGCCTAGCCACCCTAACACCATCAGAACCACCGCATAGCCACCATCCACCCACCAGAACTACCAACTGACCACCTGAACCACCGCTAACCACGCCGACGCCCCTGCTGCCACCATCGAAACCACCTAAAACCAACATTCACCACCGAAGCCACCCTAATCCACCCGGAAAAAAACCCATCTTCCCCAAATTACCCAACTTCATTCGAATTTACCCTCAACCACCACGTTCACCACTCATTACCCACGAAATCACCACACCCACCATGAAAACCACTACAAAAACCACCCCAAAAACCACCCAAAAGCCCTAACCATCTCAACAAAAAAAAAACCCATAAACAACCCCCAAACACCCAAAAAACAACATATGAAACTCTATTAACAATCAGCCTAGTAGATCTATCAAACAAATCACTTAAAAAAGAGAGAGAAGAGGGACAACATCAACAATTAGAAGGAAAGGGGCGGTGGTGCGGTGGACGAGGGAGGGCGGCGGCGCGGTGGACGAGGGGAGTAAGTCGCCTGCAGTGAGGGGTGGGGACCGACGAAGTGGGTGGGGGATCTCGGCACCGCTGGGGGAGGGGTTGGAGTTGGTTGTTGACAGTGAGTTGGTACTTCCATGTGAAGTTCCATTTCATTCCCTTTCTCCTTTGTGAACAAACAACCTATAATAAATAGGGGAGTTGCTTTCCATTCTCCCTCTTTCCCTTTCTCTTAGTCATTCCCTTTCCTCTTGGTGAACCAAATGGCCCCTAAATGTGATTACATTTTTTTTTTTGAAACCGTGATTATATTTGATTAATAATAAATAAACCAATGTTTACTTTCGCCTGCCGAAAAATAAAATGTTGAATTTCAATACAAGGAACATGTTATCGCCTTAACTATCTTTAATTAAACTACTCCCCGATTGATTTATTACAAAAAAAAATAAAATAATAATAATAATAATAATAATAATAATAATAATAAAAAAACTGCTCTTCTATCTATACATTTTCATTTTTCCATCTAACATTCATATTAACAGTTTCATTTGACATAGAGTGTGAGGAATAGCTCAAATAGTTAGAGCTCCCCTCTTTATTCCAGGTGATACTGGGATCGAAACTCATCACCCGCTCTTGTGGCTCTTTATACCAAAAAAAAGTTTCATTTGACATACTATTTTCTTGGTTTTTTTTTTTTTTTTTTTTTTTTTTTTTTTTTTTTTTTTTGAGTGACATACTATTAGTGATTGTTTAAACTAGGGCTGAGCAAAACTACCTGAAAACCCGTTCTATTACCATTTCGAAAATTAGGGTACTCAATTCGATAACCATAACAATTCGGATACCCGTTCCGTTAATTTGTTATCGGGTATGGTTATTGGGTATCATTTTAAAATTAATGGTTACCTGTTCTGAACCGATAAGCAATTTTTTGTTTTTTTATTCTACTTAAATCTATTTTTTCCAAAATCTAAACCCTTACTTTACTTCATAATCACTATATAATATCAATGATTAGTAATATAATTAATAATTTGGTCAAGATCATATGATATTGCTGTTAATTAGTGTTAAAATATATCATAATAACTAATTTATTAAGTTTGATTATCACTATTGGGGTACCCGATAACCGTTTCGAAAATCCAGGTACTCGAACTTATCGGTTCGGTTTATAAATATCACTTTTAGTGATATTGGTGATCGGGTACCCGAACTGTTAGTACTAATGGTACGGGTACCCGTCCCATGCTCACCCCTAGTTTAAACCAAAAGTAGTACGTTAACTTAGCTCTAGGAGCCTAGGTCAAAATCTTTTAAAAAAAATAATAAAAAAATAAAAACACCTTAGCACCTCCAAGTAGACTCAAATGTACAAATTTGTCTTGGCATACAATCACCAAATACGGGCAGACCACCTGATGTAAAATAACGTGCAAAACATGGCTCTGAAGACACAGCACTACAGCAGGAGAGCTAGATAAACAACCCCCAAGAACAACTGATTGTTCAAGCGACTCCGATAGCATATACAAACTCATAATACTGTGGCAAATGATCCAGTAGCAAAGCAGGAGCAGCTTGTAAAACCCCCTTGACATGCATAAAGGCAACACCTTAAAACTTGCTTCACCTTGCTATCGTAGAAGTATAACATCAGAGAAATTTAAAATGACATCTGCAAAACAAACACTTAAACTCAATTTGCCGGAAGATGAACAATCTACAAAAAAACATAGGATGTGATCCTAGAGCTATGATAAAAGACATCATAAATTAGATATTGGGAGTGTTCTTGGTTGCTTACAATTTCCTGTTTTAAGTTTTTTTCTTTTGCGTAAACCTAGTAAACCCACAACTGGTTTGTTATCAACCATAACGCCACAAGCCCACAGCTACTATAAAAATGTCCTTTTAATATAAATAATTGTATTCTATTCTTTTGCATATATTTCAAATTGATTTTTTTACTGAAGGTACAGCATTTTCAAATTTAACATTATATTTCGTATGCCTTGTTTAATAAAATGTGTACAGGCAATGTGGCAAGTTCCACATTACATGCATCACTTCCTCAATGCAAAGTATTTATGTTGAAATTACATCTCTACCACTGAAAATTGATGACCAATCAACTTTTGTAAGTTTGTTGTACACACTCTATATCTTCTAATCACATGGGTAATGTTGTCAATGTTTACCTCTTTCTTGATTACTTAAGTACTTACCACTCACTCCCCTTTCTTACTTTCTTTATGTTCCATAAGTCAGCCAAATCTCTATAAACTTTACTTCGGTAGAACTTGAACCATGTGTGTTCTACTAAACGTTCAAAATCTACAACTACAAGCCAATCTCCTTATCAGGGACCACCTCTTTATGAAAGGTGAGTTCTACCTTCCTTCCGCGAGGGTAAAATACAGTAGAGCTTAAGGTTGTAGGTTTTGAACTTTATTACTACTATATCTACAACTACAAGTCCTTACTCCTATATCTAATATTCGATTTATTATCCATTTGTCATAATGTTGAATACAATAGGGAACCTTTTTTTATTTGCACACAAAGTCGACTTTACACATTCAACTTGGGATGGATTTCAATTTTAAACATAGTAATCATAATAATAATAATAATGAAAAATAAAAAATAAATTAAAAAAAAATAAAAAAAAACACACACACACTATTAATTTAAAAGGTGGAAGAGAATATCCAACATACCCCAGTAAACCGCTTCCTTCCCATGTTCGAGGAGTTATATACAAGCTTGTTAACACACCCTGCCTCATAACAACCACAGATGTTGCAGTGCCTTGATTTTTCTGAACTTCAGAGGCAAGCCTGGGTAGTAAGTCATCCCCAGATTCTACACTTCCAAATTTCACCATCTGATCCCCAAGCTGCAAACCATCTTCTGCTGCAGGAGATGCCTCAGCTATTTCATCTACCATTGCAAAAGGGATTCCGCTAGTTGTATCAGCGTTTGCAGGACCAACAGTATTACTCATATCAACATCATCTGTCCATAGAGATACACAGCCATTAGATAAGGAAGATAGCAGATTATCTCTCTCTTTGTAAGTTTCTTCAATAAACAAGGACTTCATACTTGTGATGGAATGAAATCAAGTAGTAACACATCAGATGGAAATAGTAAGCTCAAATTTTCATTTCAAACCTAAACAAACTAAACAGGTGCAGCCTGAAGCAAACTTTCTACTACCATGGGACCAACTATAAAACTGGGTGTGATCATTAACATGTCACGCAAAAAAGAAGTTGAAAGTTGATTCCCCTGGATTCCAAAGCATCTTTCTTCTTACTTATTGTATTTTTTATTTAGCCCTATTCTCATTTTCCTCAATCCTCACTACCCAACACCTCTATTTCTCTCCTCCCACACCAAAATCATCCCCTTCACTTTCTTCCCATGTTCTAGCAATCCTTCCACTATCCTCCAACCACAAACCTGAACCCAGCCCCCTCCCTCTTCTCATTGCTTCAGTTCCCGTTTCCCAATCCCCATCAAAGGAGCTCCACCACGATTTTTCCAGAAATAACACTCCAGCCACCAGCAAGGTTGAGAAAGAGGGAGAGATGGCAGCAAGAAAAATCTAGCCACCAATAAAGAGTGGATACTGGAGAGGGGTTTGAGGATTGGTAGTTTATTGAGTAGAAGAGCTAATGGTTTGGAATTAGTAAGTTCGCCAAGAAAGAAAGTAGGGGTATGGTAGTTCGCCAGGGATGGGAGTTAGGGAATCGGCTGATGGTGGGCAACAGGAGAGAAGGGGCCATGGTGGAGAAAGGATGTGATGAACCCACCAAGTGAGCAACCTATGGCTGTGTACACAAGGAAGAAACGACCAGCAGGAGGCCAAGTGACAGCAGGGCAACAACAAGACAGTGATGAAACACCTTTGGAGGAAGCAGGCAAAATTAATCAAAGAAACACTAAGTGGTGTGGTAGCATGGCAAGGAGAGGGAAGCAGTAGAAGCAAAAGAAGAAAAGGACTAATTAAAGCTAGAGTGTACTTTTGAGTACCTTGATTGTATACATAAGAAATGAGTAGCATCAGTAGTAGTTATACAATTTGAATATCAAGAACCTTGTTAGAGATGTGAAGCCTAAAGTTGCCAAGGAGAGTGATAACCTAAAGTTACCAAAACTATCTTTTGTTCTTCCATCAACGAAACAGTAACTTGGTGCTATTCTTGTCCGAATATTTATCAATCTTAGTCAGTTCATATCAAAGGATGTCTCTTTTCTCTGCTTATATCAACCCAAGGAAAAAAAAAATCCCAGTAGTGGAGTTGTGAAATGGGCATCTATAAGAGTTACGATGTCGGTTGCAAGCATTGTGGTGACTTACAAATGAAAATTATTTACCTAATAAGGTAATATACTTCCTCCGTGATTATTTTCTTGACTAATAGCTCCTTGTCACACAATTAGAGAAAGAGATCGCTTGTTTATCTTCTCTAATCTCTTCCTCAAATTGCTTGCTACGGAGCTATTAGTAAAGTTAAAAAGAATGGAGGACATACAAATTTTGGACAGCCTACACACTAAATATAGTATAAGACTTTGCATCGGTCCAAAACTTTAAGCCAGAATCCTAACTTTTCTTAGACTGGAGACCAGAACAGTGTAATTCTGAATATGATATGGTTGTTGACTGTTCCGAACTTGATAGTTCCAATCTGATACGAATTGAAATCAAATGGACCTGTTAAGAGTTTTTATTTTAATTTTTTGTGTGATTCATCTAGTTTTATTACGAAAAGTAACATACAAACTGCGACTATAGTATTGAAATCAAGCTTAAATTACCATGGCACTTATGTGTTGTCTAGTTTCTATTAAATCCAAATCTTGGTAAATTTAAGCATCATTCTACACATAAGCACCCATAAAATTACAACATTCATATAACATTAAAACTACCCCCAAATCTGCAAAATATGCAACCCCAAGAAATCTCAAAAAAACGCATAGAACACAAAATCAAATCCATTAATTATAAATTTAAGCAATAATTAACTGAAATAAGCAAGTAAATAACTCAATTGGTTAGACAACAATTAGTTGAAGAACTTTTATGGTTGGCCAACATCGCCTTTTCTTTTACATCAACCTAATTGACAGTGATGAAGCAAAACTACTAAGTAACCAGATTGCTAGAAGAGAAACAAAAGACATAGATCAAGAAAGAGGACAGAGCCAGGAAGAAGGTTGTACCAGGCTATCAAGTAATTGCTAGAGGAAAACGAATGAGGGGAACAGGGAGGAGATTGGAGCTTTGAGGGGACCATAAATGACTTAAAGAGTTAAACTGTTAAAGAGCCTTCATCCACTAACCGTAGAAAATGTTAAAGTATAGGCTTTTGCATGGAACTTCCAGAAATCAATCTGGTTCAGTCCATTCAAGTCCAAATTTTTTATGCACACCCCCAAGCATGAGTAATTTAATCTGATAAGTGGATTAAGCAGTATCAACACTTAATAGTTCCACAAAAGAGCCTGAATTGGCTGATACATTTCAAATGATCTTTGGGGAAAAAAAAAAAATAAATAAATAAATCTTGTATAGGTGTACCAAGGAGCAGACAAGTCTGGATGCTGAAGATTCCTGGAAACAATAAGGACCTATAAACATATCTGAATAACTAATATTCGTACATCATCAGCCATCCTAGAAAGTTGTATAATTGTATATTTACAATCATTTAATCTTTTTTTTTTTTTTTTGAAACATGATAATCATTAAATTTGACAATTAATTTAAATCTCCAAAGTTCACTTCAAATATCAAAAAGCACACATCTAACAAAAATTCATCATCCAAAACTGTCATTTGGTTAAAATGAATAATATCCAAGTAACAAGTAAAAATAAATTAATTAATTATAAAAAAACATTATAAAAATTGCTCTACCTGAATCCATGGTGGTTGAAACCTTAGGTCCCAGTTTCGTAGCATGTAAAAGTTGTATATTTTGACTGATTTTCTCTGTGAGATTTATGTGGTCAATTCTAAGCTCTGCGTATAAAATAAATAAATAAAGTAAAAGTCAGTCCAAAATATTGAAATAAAGGTTTGTGTATGACTTAAGACACACAATAAATTCTACAAATGAAAATAGCCATAAATAAATCCTCATAAATCATCCATTAATAATGTGTTACAAGTCTTACAAGTTACAACTCTCAAGAGTTCCTTTACATAGGATATAGTGATAAACTACCACAAATCCACATTACACCTATTTCAATTGTTAAAAGGGAACCATACGAGAAATAAACATTTAAACTAATAATTTTTTAATATTCTATTTGATAAGCATAACCCCACATATTCATACAGTTTTTACATTGAACAAGTATTTTGAAGATAGATGTATTGTAAAGTTAATTTTTAAGATCACCCAAGTCCTTTCCCATTCTCTGATTCTCTCCCACAAAGAGGCACCACCATTGCCACTGCAAAACAACCACTTCCCCTCTAATCTCTTCCCATGGACCCCCCCCCCCCCTCCTCAAGCAGCTGCATCATCTCCGCCTCTGCATTCTAATCTCTCTCCTCCATGTTCTAGCACATTGGAATGGTGTGAAGCAAATAAAAATCAGAGGAGACACAAGTGAAGGATAGCAAGGTACTCATCAATCAATTTGAAATAATAACAATACTACTCCTCTCCCAACCATAAATATAACTATAATAGCACAAGCTAAATAATTAGAGGACAGAAGTAGAAAAACTTATTATTCTTCACTCCCCCCACTTCTCTTCTGGTCCTTTGGCCACCACTCTCCACTTCTCCAGAAATATGGTATCTACTACAGCAGGCCGAGTAAGCAGAAGCAAAAGCAGAAGTGACTTCATTGGGGATAATAGAGTACAGTAATTGTGGTAGCAAAATAAAAGAGAACGTTTTTGAAAGACCATTCACTTTGCCAAGATTGAACCAACAAAATTACTACAAATACTAACATACCACAAATGAAAGCATTCAAAGACAGAAACAAAAGCAAGGGATCAACTGACTCTTCAACATATTGCAAAAACTACATCCACCGGCAAAACATAAAGAAAAAAAAAAAACTCCTCACTTTGATTTCATCTTCGAATACATATTTTTCTTTACAGCTTCCAGGGAAAGGAACATGCTTAAAGAGGATCGTTGGACCTCCAATTGACAAAGGTTGTGAAAGTTGTAACTTTCGATCACGTATTTAAATTTTGATATTACTTGCAATCAAGTAAAATGGCTCACAAACCAAGGAGCATTAGATAAAAGGTAAGAAGGAAATGTGGTCCCCTTAATTAACCTAGCTTAATTATCTACACCTACCCAAATACATTCCCCTGCCAGAAAACCAGCACCCACCCCTCAACTCTACCATGCATTCACCACCCCAACCTTTCTTCAACTAGTTAGTTTACATGCCAAGAACACCTCCACCAACCTTTACTTGGTATGATCTGCATAGCACGAAATATTATCCTAGTAATGTATAATAGCAACAATAAATCAAGTATCTTACCAGCTAGGCGCTGACGGTCTGCTCGAACAGCCGGTATATTAATGTCTGCACGAGGGAAACCCTGCAAGAGTTGCCATATGTAAACAAAACAATGTAAATGAGATTTTCTGTACTAGTACAAATTCAGAAGTTCAAGATAGTCAAAGCGAATAACATGTAAATCGAGCATTACTTATAGTTAAAAACATATAATTTTGAATGTTTATACCGATTTGAGAATCAACGCACCCAAGTATCTTAACAGGAAGTTGAAATCATATACCCTATATAAATTTCACTAAACATCTAGTACAATTAAAATAAATAAGAAAGATACACCAAGTAAGGGTTTATAATTGAACTGGCAATGGATAAACCTCAAATCAAATTGTGGAAATTGAGCCAACAAATTCAATCAATTGACAGAATCACAACACAAAAAGGGGTTTAATAATAAGAGATTACCTCGGAGTCGACAAGGTTGGCAGATAGACCAGGACCTCCGTCCTGGCAAAGACGGTGAATAATTGCGTTGATTTCAGACTCCGTAGCATCCCTTTCGTCCATCAGCGACGTAGTTTCTGCCTTCAAGTTCGTCCCAACCATTGTTAAACGCCTAAACTTTACTCCGCTCAACAAACTTCTTTATTTTCAGTGTTGCTGCTCTGCTTACGATCGATTTCGGCCTATACGCTGGATGGAGAAATCTATAAACGCGCAAAAGGTTAGTGTGAGCCTGTGAGGTATGGGCGATGTCCGGGTTGCTAGTTGTAGTATTCTTTAATTTGATAATTATGATCGGCTTTTGGTATAGCTAGTGTGTGGTTTGAGCGTTGCTTCGGGTGCGTGTTTTTTTTTAGGAAACAAAGCTCCAAAAGAGCAACTAGCTTTCATTCATAATAAGCTCAGCATTCAAAATCGATACAAGCTTAGACGGGAAATTCGTCACCCAAGTTCGGCAACCCACTACCCATGGTAGGCAATGAGCTGTCTCGTGGGCAGCTCTATTTCCTTCTCTACCTACAAACTCCAACACACAGACTCAAAGAAAATACTAAAATGATAAACATCATCAAAAATCAAATGGATACTACTACTACCTTTCTCTTGTGATGAAATAGCATTAATTAGGCTAAGTGTCACGGTCCGGGAGTTTGGGCCCCGAAACGTGCGGCACGCTCTAGCCTTTTGGCGGCAAGAACTCTATCCTTGAGCGAAAGAGGGGCTTGTGAGCACAAAGCAACACAAACGTGCAATTAAATCACAGGAGCACTCACGTCTATTTTGGCGACGGAGTGCGGGTGGTTAGGGCGTGTGACGACCAATACTTCAAGGCGGGCATTAGCGGATCCGAACCACGAGTTCTTAGTGCATCAAGTTGGTTTGGAGGGGAGCTATTATGCAAGTAAGACACAATATCTATAAAGGTCTAACAACAAACAAGCATAAAAGCAAGGCAACACTTGGTAGATGACTTAAGATTTCATTAATCATTCACCCTCTAAAGAGCTTTAATTTGATTACAAGGAGAATCCCTAGTGAACACAGAACTGACAGTAACACAACAATGGGACCTCAGGCTTAGAAAACATAAAGTAAACTCTAAGAAAACAGCTAAAAGAAATCTAATACATAAAAAAGAGTCGGATTCTGACATCCTCCCCCACTTAAGCTAACAACGACCTCGTCGACTTACAAGAGTTGAAAAACAAAATTAGAAAATCCTAAACTATCTTGAGTCTCTGGTGCGCCGTTGATGCGGCTGACTTCTGGAATCTTTGTTGCCTCTGGAGCTTGATCTTCGTTGTTGTCGAGGAGCTTGTCTTTGGGGTTGTTGTGCTCGAACAACTTGTTGAGAGCTTCATCTCTAAATTTCCTCCTCGGAGTGGTGTCGATTGAGTTGGGGCAATCATTCTCATGGAGCCAGAGAAGAAGGCGACATCGAAGAAACAAGCTCTCGGCAAAGACACCTAGAAGCGGGAAATGAAGCTTGATGAGCCGGCAACATTGAAGATGCAAACCTGCCAATACAAGAACCAGAAACACGACTCAAAGTAGAGAGCGACCGCTCAAGGCTAGCGTTCTTGCCGCCAAAAGGATAGATCGCCGCACGTTTTGGGGCCCAAACTCCTGGATAGAAAACATACAGTAAACTCAAAGAAACATCTAAAGGGATTCTAATACATCAAAAGGAGTCAGATTCTAACACCAAGACAATCACTTTCTACCACTACCCTTTTGTAACCCGCCTCAATAGCAAGCTTGACTCAATAAATAAAGCCTTAGCTTTAGCGATCTCCGACGTCCACCGATCTTCAGTCATCCACGAAGCAGCAAGTAAAGAGTCTCCCCTCCCATTTCGCACCACCGCTCCAGCACAACTCCTCAACCCTTCGTAAGTTCCACCATCCACATTAAATTTTACCCAGCCTTCCTCCGGAGCTTTCCAACACATTCTCTTGTTCCTTCCCACACTCACCTTACTCACATATTCCCCCTTTATCTCGCGCATAAGCTTATGAACATACTCCAAGGATCGATTCAGATCGCATTCTCCCCCTTCAAAAATCCACTTGTTCCTTGCATTCCAAATTTCCCAACAGATTGTGAGAAATAGGCCATGTTCAGCTCTAGACAACCTCTCTAAATAAGATGCACATGTCCCCAAAATTGCAGGAAATCCCCTGGACATCGCCCCCTAAACCACTCGCGTCCCACATAATGCGAGCAATAATGCAGTTCCTCAAGCAGTGAAGCTTAGTTCCCTGCTCAACCTGACATAACGAACATATAGAATCCCTTCTTGGCAGTCTTTTACTCAGCCCAACTAAGGTTGGTAATGCCCCTTGATCTACAAGCCCTCCAAACAAATAATTTAACACGCGGTAGAGTATATGCATGCCATATTTTATTCCAAAAGTTTGGGGAGCTAGAGGAAGAGACCACATTACCCGCATCGTACTCACCTAAAACAACCCTTTAAACTAATCGTACAGAGTACTCACCGTTCTTCTCTAAGTCCACTAGGTGAAAATAGTGCTTTGGCAGCGGTTCAAACCCGGTCTAAGGCACCGATTTGAACCGCTGCTTATGTGAGGGGTGCCAAACCCCCCCCCCCCTTTTAGCACCGGTTCAAAACCGGTGCCATATACCCAATTAGGCACCGGTTAACCGGTGCCTTTAACTGCTCTCCCGCCATTTTTTTTGGGTGGTAGCTAACCGGTGCCTATTCACCAAATAATTTTTTTTTTATTTTTTTTTCCAATTTTCGTGCAATAATATTTTTTAAAAAAAAACCTTTTTCCAGCAATAATAATAACCTGTAATTCCAGCAATTATATTAAATAAAATAATTAATAATATTATTATTAAAATAACTAATAATAATATTATTAATTAATACAATAAGATACAAAAATAATATTAAAAACAAGAATTCAATTATATATATAGATATAAATATTCCCAAACGCAATACAATAAAAAAAAGTTGCTTACATATACAAATAATAGTAAGTAAATATATAATGAATAATAAGTTATATAGTTCAAAAGTTAACATAAATAATTTACAATTACAATGTCATTTACATGTTGAAGGTGATAAAAGACGCCAACATGTCACGTACTTCATTAAGCTCCTTGATTGTCAACGGACCATCCTTTTGGACCTTGCAAAACTTCAAATACAAAAACATTATGTTAAAATCAATTAATTAGGCAAAACAATATTATTTTATCAAATATTACCTATATGACTTCTATGTAGCCCATTTCCTACATTACTTATCAAATGAACTATTTATTTCTCATAACATGTCAATGTTGGGTAGTTGTATGTGTGTAAGCCCTAAAATTGTATAGGAGAGCATTTTATTAAGGTTTATGACGCTTTTTACTCAAAATGGCCCTGTTCATATATCATGTATATTTACTGACTTATTTTTCTGACAGTTTTCACGCGAGGTGGTTTCGGCTATGGCACGATGCATAGATGCCTTTCGGAGCCAGCTTGTCCGGATGAGGAATGCGGCCACTTGCCGTCGGGATGACGTCATCCGAGAGGTAGCCTTTTTTTGCTCATTATTCTTTCATTGCTGCTTCAATTTTACTTTGTTTCTGATTTAACTCTTTTTGCAGGGCCAGCCTATCGCTTCTCACACTCGTACGAGACCTGAGGGGCGGAGGGATCCGGCGAGGTCTAGCTCGAGACGTCGTCGCACTTCGTCAGGGGGTAGAGGCGGTCGCTATGAGGCTGCTCGAGCTGACGTTGCAGAGGGCTCGGGATCTTCTTCTGAGGGTGCTCACGCTTCACCGGTAGGAGAGGCTACCTCGGCTTTCAGAGGTGGTGGGATGTACGAGGTTGACTCGTCATCGCAGCAGCCTCCGCGGCCTCAGCCTCAAGTTGATCCTGGCTGGAGTGGTCCTATATTGAGTCTTCCTCTTCCTACGGAGAGTGGAGCTGGTGGAGAGGTGACTCCTCGTACGGCGCAATTTTATGATATGATGGGCCTATGTCCTCCAGCGCCGTAGTTTGTTCCAGTGTATATTTTATTTTGACTTTTTTGTAGAACTTTGCCTTTGACTCATTATTTATAGACACATGAACTTATGTGTATGTTAGTGTGTGCAAGAAAAAGTGTGGCAAACAATTTTGCGCAAAAATTCCGTCATTTTTATTATTGATGGAGGGTATCCGACTCTCTCCCCCAAAAAGAAAAAATAAAAAAAGGAAAAAAAATTGAATAAAATGTCGGGTGTTTGGAAATTAAAATAAAGTCCAAAAAGAATAATAAAAATTAAAAAAATAATAGCTATATTTAATTAATTAGGAAAAAGGATAGAAAAGGATTAAAAGAGCCATAAATTCATTAACCGACTCGAGTTTAATATTAAAAACGCAAGTTGAGGACGCGCGACTGATCTGGCAACTTGGCGCCAGCTGGCGCCACACTATGGCGCGTGGCGCCAGGCGCTACACTTAGCGTGTGGCGCTAAGCGGTGGTGGCTGGCGCCAATTGACGCTGATGCTGTATTTTAATCTGATTAAAATTCCTCGCAATTTGTGTATAAAAATCCCCCTGCCCAGTCGATTCTTCTCATAATTCTAGCGAATAAATAATTCTCTTCTTTAGAAAAACAATAATCATGTCTTTAGTCACCAAGACCTTCACTCAATATACTCATGAATGGTGTCGATCTCTTAATGCGAGGGAGAGAAAAGAATTAGATTTATTTCGCCTGGGGGGAATTTATGGCATCAAAGGGGTAGATCTTGACCTAGACTTCATACATACTGCTTTAGAATTTTGGAATGTTGATACTCATTGTTTCAGAATAGGGTATGACGAGATTAGCCCTTTGCCGGAGGAATTTGGTGCTATCTTAGGCTTCCCTGCGATAGACCTTATACCAATCCCTAGAGTAGACGCATACTATTATAAGGATTTTGAGCGCTTCTTTAATTTAAAGGAAAGGGATTTATCAAAAATAGTAGATGGCAACATAGTTAATTTGAAAGAATTTGCACGCCATTATTTTGATAAACCTCTTTCTGAATCTTTTCATATATATAGAAGAAGGGAGTTCTTATTTTGCATGCTTAATCAATTTTTTCTTAGTAGTGGTAAAAATAATGAGGGTCAATCAATTATAACCACTGTTTTAGAACAAATCGAATCAGGGAGAAATCCAATGCCGTTAATAGTTGGAGAGACTATGATTGGTCTAGATGAATTGAAAAGGGACC